TTGCATACGTACTCTGATAAAATGAGATCCATTCCGCTGCATTCTGTACCGTCCCCGATAGAGCAAAATCACAACACATGCACTCATCTGTGAAAATGTGAACGCTAAACATATCCGACTTAAAACTTTGCAAACACAACAGCATGCAGTGGTTCAAGCTTAATGCTGGTGTTCCTATTTTGTGACACGAATTGGTTGGAACAGCATCAGTCCGGAAAAACAGCTGTTGGTGCACAATTTCTGATGGCATGCGTCGTGCAAACAATAAAAGGCTTAAGCAAATAAGTATCACCACTGGCATCGTCATGCATGTGTCCGCTAAAAGAGTAGTCCGTTGAATCACAGGCCTCTGAATTTCTATCAATAAGCCGTTATATGATTGATCAGAGTGATATATATACCCCCTCTATATATAAATACACCAGGTATGCAACGACTTTTTAACCCCCTCGCCGATTTGGAGCCGAATTTTTGGGGAAAACGAAAGTGTCTAACCTTTAGCGTGCAGAACTGTGCCCAAAATTGATTTTTCTTAAATTCCATCGCTTCAAATGCATCGAAATATAGACGCAATCAACCATTATTTTCCGCTTTTCAAAAAATTCTGCTACTGGCCACCGCCATGCGCTGACGTCACGTAAACAACGTCAAAATCAATTTTTTTTAAAATAAATTTTAACATTGGTTATTACTGTTAAATGGGAGAAGATAGAGCATTTGTATTTGACACGTGCATTACCTAGGACAAGACGTTGCCAAACATGCTACGATTATTTACCTTGTTACCTTGACCTTTAAGGTATATCATTTTTGACATAATGGCCTTGAACAAGGAGTTTGAAGAACACACGAACAGTTACAATATGCCATAAATAATTGCACCCCAACAACTAAGACAACGAAAGCTGGGGACCACATTTCTCTAAAATAACTTGTCTTTCTGTTGTCTCTTTTGGCTGCATTCCGCTTGCAGTCGATGACACGGAGTGTTGAACAGGGATGGGGTAATTGATAAAAGTAATTGAGTGTAAATAATTAAATTTTACAAAGTAATTTGTAATTGACCATTTCTTCAATTACTTGTAATTGAATATAATTAATTACAATGAACAAACTACCCTGTAATTTCAATTACTTTCCAATTACATTTCATAATATTATTTACTATGTGTTACAACACAGTTACAATTTAAAGTTATTTTAATTTATTCAAAGAATTAGCCCTTCTGTTTGTTTTTTTTTTTTCTTTCAAAATTTAAACTCTTTTGTATCTCAATAAATGAATTTGATATATTGGTTTGTTTATAAAAATATTACGTTGTTTTATAATTATAATCCGCATAAAGAATTAATACTAGTTTAATGTTGATCCAAAATTTTGTTCTACCTCCCATTGGTTTAGGCATGAAAACATTTCAATTTTTTGTTGCTTGATTATCAAAATAGAGTAGAAAATGATTGAATATGTCATTAAGACCTGCCTTGTTGCCCTTCAACTCCAAGTTGTAAATTGCTATCAAAACAACCCTCCAAAATTTTATATAAATTTATACCATGCTTTGTTTAAATTCAAAGTTATGACCATTAGAGGTGATTTATTATATACTATTAAGAATTATTTATATACATGTACTTTCAGAAAAGAAATAAATATTGAATCACTATTTTAACATTTAAACAGATCTTTATATACATGTATGCATTTGGTACCTGAAATAGTTATTCAATAAAACAAGTATTATTTGTCAACATTTGTAATATAAGGTGTTTAGCTTGCCTACCTGTAGCTGAAATAATTTATGGTTGATTCATAAACTCTTGAAAACTTGCTATTAATCAAAGAACTATATACGGTAAGGGCGTATTCCTGCCCCCATAATAGTCAAATTTTGAAAATCTGTTGAAATGAGAAATAGTGCATATATTGTATAAAATAATCCAAATTAAGACAATATATTATGAAATTGGAAAAATTAGTTGGCTTTTCTTGTCTCTGTGACGTCACAAACTATTCGCATTTTCGTTATTTTTAAAATAGAGGCCAAAATGCACAGAGTTTGTTCAAATTTGACTATAGTATTTATAGAGCGCAAGCTTGCTCAGGTACCATATTCACATATTTCATTGATATTATCATTCTACACATTATATCAAAAGATCTAGTCTGAGCAGACCTGCGCTCGATAATTTCCAATCAAAATACCGACGTAAAATACACTATTTTCTCTCAAAATCATTGCAATTTGGAATTTACGTCATTTTATTGACGTCATATCTAACTAATGATGTCATAGTTGATAAAAATATTTAATGCTTTGAAGTCTGCAAATATCCACCTGGTTTAGAACATAATTAAAGATTTCTCTATCAAAGTTTTATCTTGGGGGCAGATACTGGCCACTACAGAATATAGTCCTTTCATAAAGACAATCAATAAATTGATAAATGTACATGTAGGACTAGGTTTTAATATGTTTATTTTTAAATTTATTAATCATTATGTCAAACCCATTTACAATTTCGAACTATCCCGGGTCAGGATAGTTAGTACAACATAAATAACAGAGTAACATATATTTATTATAGCATTTCTACAAATGACACTATCTTATTTTTAAACATATGAGTTTTCGTTAACTTCATTAATAAGTCCATATTGTTTTTAATATTACTTTTATACCCCACGCAACATATTGCGTGAGGTATAATGATTTTGACCCGTCCGTCAGTCAGTCAGTCAGTCAGTCCTGTTTTTATTTGTCAGCGCAACTCCTCATAAACCGCTGCACAGAATTTCGTCAAACTTTGCAGTTATTTAGGACACAATGTGTAGATGTGCTTATTACCAGGAAATTCCGATTCCTTTATTTTCTCTGGGAATTTCGGCACTTTTCAACTTAGATTTTTGGCCATATTTTGAATATAGAGATGCAAGAAGTTTTGATGTGATGATTTTTTCGCAAGTAATGCCCCTTTTTGAATTATACTGTGCTTTTAAAATGCACTATGCCATTTATTACGTGTTGCATTGTCAAATTTTGGGGGAGCGTGGGGTATGTGAGCTTGCTCACTTTTTCTTTCATTTACATAAGAAAGTAGGTTTTAATATGTCGATAAAACACAAACATGACAGGCACCTGACATTAATATTTATTTCAAATATTCCCATTACCTTAAATTTACATGTATTTGTTTTTCAAGATTTTTGAAAATGAAACAAAAGTAATTGAAATGTATTTAATTACATTCTTGAAAGTAATTGAGACTAATTAATTACATTTGTAAAAATCAATGTAATTGTAATTGCAAGTAATTGACAAAATTTTCAATGTATTTGAAAGTATTTGATTACTGGTGTTGAATGTTGTTTACATCTAAAAACGTGGCGAAAACACCCGAGATATGTAGTGGCGAACGCAGCAATCAAGCAATCTTTTAAAGAGAATAATGATTGACTGATATTGTTTAACGCCGAGTCGGCAATATTTCAGCCATATATCGGCGGTAAAAAGTTATGTTCAGATTGAAAGACTTTTTGGGTTTCTCTGGTGGCCCCCCCCCCCCCCCCCCCAGTGAGCCTACTCTTTTTCAAAAACCAGAAAAACGATCTTTTACGTGCCAAGGGGGTTGTTATCCTTGACACGGGGCACCATTTAACGTCCCATCCGACAGACTTTAAATTTAAAAATATGTAAACAGTTCAATTTATAATAAGAAAGATTCGCTATTTAAAATGTACATATCTAAATCTTACTGTAAAAATCAGTTTCTTGCAAGTATTGTAAAATTGTACTAGGACTTATATTTGTAAAAAGGCCATGCATTGTTCGCACATTATTAAAAAGTCTACTTCGAACAGGCGTAAAATCAGAACATTCTAAAGGAATATGGTTTATAGTTATTGCACAGTCACAAGATATGCATTCCGGTCGATGTTCCCCGTTTAGTAAATAAGAATGAGTAAAAGCTGAACATGATTCGTAAAAGCAATGTGTCCGCCATTTTTGTTCGGATTCTCGCTATATCTGAGGACCCCTATATAAAGGGCCTGACTTGGACACTGTTCAGTATGATCAGTCGACACCGGTGTAGACGGACGTATGCTACACAGCACTCGAAAATAACTGTAATACCTCGTCTAATGCTGGAAAGTACATACAAAAGAAACTTACAATTACAGTTGTACAGGTTAGTGCATTATACAAACAAACACAGATACACGTAACTACAATAAAATGTAAACAAAGGTATTGCAAGTTTACCAGCACGAACACGGGTCGCCATTCCACGCCGATACCCGTGACAGTAAAGCAGTCAGGTGTAACGAATGCGAAGAGTATACCCTGGTATTGATGTATCGTAGATATAATATCGAAAATGGCGTATGCCTATTTACGAGTCGTGTTCAGCTTTAAAGCTGAACACGACTCGTAAATAGGCATACGCCATTTTCGATATTACTGTCTAAGATATCAGCACCAGGGTATACTCTTCGCATTCGTTACACCTGACTGCTTTATTGTCACGGGTATCGGCGTGGAATGGCGACCCGTGTTCGTGCTGGTTATCTTGCATTATCTTTGTTTACATTTTATTGCAGTTACTGACGTGTAATTGTGTTTGTTTGTATACTGCACTGACCTGTGCAACTGTTGTAAATCTCTTTGGGATCTTACTCTCCTGCATTAGAAGAAGCACACAGTTATTTTTGTCGCTACCAAGTGCTGTATAGCATACGTCCGTCTACACCGGTGACAATTGATTACACTGAACAGTGACCAAGTGAGCGGCTCTATATATAGGGGCCCTCAGATATAGCATGAGTCCAACCGAATATGGCGGACAGATTCTTTTTACGAAGCGTGTTCAGCTTTAACCTTGAATGTCCAATTCGTATAGGAATTTTCGCCGTGACGTAGCAAATCGGTCACGTGACACGCTGGTTGGCAAAATATTTGAAAATAGTAATGGCCGCATGCTGAGTTAACACAAAGAAAACGATGGTTGTATCATGCTGTGTTATCGGATGTGTAAATAGGTTTGATAAGACTAATCCCAAGAGCTTTTTCCGCATACCTAAGAAGCCTGAATCAAGAAGAAAGCTTTGGATTTCTACTATTAAGCGTCAAGACACGAGTGGAAAAGAATGGGAGCCTGCGGACCACGACCGCGTTTGCTATCTTCACTTTGTGACTGGTAAGTGTAATTTTTTATTTTAAAAATCATAAAATGTGTGATTATAAAGTCTATAATCAATATACTATTAATTTTAAAAATGAATTTATCTCTATCCTCCGAAGAAAATACCCCCAGCCAACTTGTAACATGTACACAGGCTGTATATAACATGTATAAAGAGGACTACTTTATGTAAATGTTGAGTTAATATTCTAGAACAAAGAAAACTGTAAACTGATGACACCAGTGACCACTTTTGATCATTTGTTAAAAAAATCATAAAAACAACTCGTTTACAAAAAAAAGTTTAAAGAATTTACCATTGTTTACCATAATGAACAAGTGAACTGCATGAATGATACTGATTTTAGGTTCAAAGAGCAATGATCAGTCATCCCCAGATTATGTGCCATCTGTGAATATGGGCTATGACACAAACAGACAGAAAAATCCTGACCAACGGAAGGCTAGATACCTGAGAGCAGAGAAGCGTGAAACAGAGAGACAAAATTTGGAGGTAGCCTCAGCCCTGTTGGATTTATCCTCCAAGGAGAATATTTCTACACCAGTCTCGGAGCCAGAGTTACCAGGTAAGATTAAGTTTCAGCTCATTTTCAAAACCAAAAAAATTATCTCTAGAACTCTTTTTTGTTAGTAAATTATAAAGTTGCTCTCTTTTATTTGGTATAATTTTATGGAAAATTAGCCAGTCATGGTGAATAAAAGCTGAATTAATTTTACGTTCTTACATGTATTTAGCAAGATTTTGTAATGAAGCATCTCTGGGAATTTTTTGAAATCACACATATTAATAAAATCATTAATATTTCAGATACAACAAGTGCATCTCAGCTTGACAGTTGTTTAAAGAAGATTTCCGAACTTCAACTTGAGAAGACACAACTTTATTCTGAATTGGAAAGACTTCAGTCAGAGTACAAGGTACTCAAGGCACAATTGAGAGAGATGTGCTTCGAGGAACAAGTGACAGGGAGTGACCACAGACTGCAGTTTCATACTGGAATTCCGTCTGTTGCATTGTTTTCATGGCTTCTATCATATGTGAACAGTGAATTGCCTACATGCAAAGTTATGTCAAGTAAGGGTATTCTTTTGTGCATTTTGATAAAATTAAGACTGAACCTACAACACCAGGACCTGGCTTATCGTTTCGGTGTCTCATTGACTACAATATCTGACATCTTCAACCGAGGTCTACCTATATTAGCAAAGAAACTGTGTTTTCTCATTCAGTGGCCAGAAAAAGAAACTTTGATCAGAAATATGCCTTTTGTCTTCAAATCCTCATATCGAAAGTGTTGCTGCATCATTGACTGTTTCGAAGTTTTCATTCAGAGACCAGGACACCTTACAGCAAGAGCACAGACATGGTCAAATTACAAACATAACAACACCATCAAGTTTTTAGTGTCTATTACACCAATGGGTGCCATATCATATGTGTCTAAAGCATTTGGTGGTAGGACATCTGACAAGGTCATAACATTGCGGAGTGGATTTCTTGACAAACTCCAATATGGTGACCAAGTGATGGCTGACCGGGGCTTTCTCATTGCGGAAGAATTAGCAAATCATGGAGCGACACTTGTCATTCCTGCCTTCACTAGAGGGAAAACTCAGCTCTCAGCGAAAGATGTGGAACAAACAAGGAAAATAGCCCATGTGAGGATACCTGTAGAGAGAGCCATCGAGAGGATTAAGAACTTTAATATCCTAAGCACTAACTTGAGTATGCATATGATACCTCATTCCGACAGCATTGTAACTATTTGTGCTGCAGTATGCAATCTCCAGCCAAAATTAGTGTCATAACTTTCCAACCATAGAGGACCATCAGCATCCTATGTACAATTGTTGTGTAAATTAAAAAAAAATTTGTAGTGATTGACTTTATTTGATCAACATTTAAAATATATTTGATAATTGTTTATGAACTTCCATGCATTCCAACCATCATCCTATCCAAATTGATTTTACTACAGAGTTATTGACTATATTTATCAACATTGAAAAATATACAGTTTAAAACTGTTTATGTACTTGTATGCATTCTAACCATTGTCATACTCGTTGGACTATCATCATCCTTTTGTCATTGTTTTTGCACACTGACATTTGTACCAAGTTAATGATTATTAACATTGATAGTTGTTCATGATTGACCTTCTGTGTACATGTATTATGAAGTCACTTGACATGCTATTTTCTATAAATTTATTAAACTATTGAAATCTAGATCTTATGTCTTTCATAAATCAGGCCATCATTAAAAATATGTTTGTTTGTACTCCGACCCACATTTTCAAGGTGTGTAGGTAGGTGGGTATTTTTTTTTTTTTTTTTTTTGCAGTATCTAAAAAACTGATTGTCATAAAACCCACAGACTTAACATTTATTGATGTTTTCATGATACACTGGTCAAAACAGTTTAATATTTATTGCTATAAAATTGTGTCAAAAAACAAGCATCTAAGAGAAATCATAAACCTTCTTTCAATTGGAACAATTTATTTCAATGGAAACCAAACCAAAAAAACTTAAATTCAAAGTACTGAAAAAAAATGATTGGGTAGGGGCGATTTGGACGGGTTGGTCGGAATACATCAAACAAATCATTTTTTATTGTTGGGTCATTGGCAGAATGTCCAAGGATGTCAGCCATCTTTTTATTAATATCTCATTCCCACTGTGAAAAGAAAAAAAACCTTTTTATTTTTAACCTTTAATTATAAGTCAGTTATTTGATCATCACAATCTTTCAAGGAATAAATAAATACAAACAAATTGTCTGCTTCAAGCACTGAATTGAATATCATTATCATCATGAAAACAATACATGTTGAGTCATTTTTACAAGTCTTGATAACATAGTCAAAGTCATACATCACAACTGGCACAAAGCCACTGACCACGAGGTTTACGCCGAATGTGAACACAACGGTAATGAAACCACTGATATGGACATCCTTCATTATCACATTTTATCATGCGCCCATACTCGGGTTCCCTGCAAATGCACCAAGTGGTCCTCTCATGGTTGTTGTTATCTGTCTCAGTCTCCTGGTCATGATTGCTTGTGGTAGCTTGTTCCTCTAACTGTCTTGTTACAATTTCCTGTAGGACGTAATCTTTCATAAACTTTTCACATTTATCGAGCAATGTTCTACAGAACTGTTCATCTACACAAATGCGTACTATCACCATGCTTGCACTTGGTTGGCACTTGGTAAACACCACAAAGTCACAATACCGATACTTTGTAATGCACATTTGCATCTGTACCTGGGTGTAATACCTGTGGCTCTCTTTTAGATGTAAGTGTTTATTAAGGCAGAAGTCTTTGTCTTTCTTTGCTGCATCCTGTACTGGAATGTCACGGTGTTTATAAGGACACTTAATTTCTAGAACACCTTTACCACAACAGTCACAACTTATGGTGCCATCTGGGCTAACACCCAAAAAGGGATGGGCAGGATCAATCACAAATCCAGATAATTGGCATTTAAAGTTCAAATGGTTTGTTTTCTGATGCATTGAATATGCCTGCCTGCATTCTTCTTCAGTCTCTGTCCCCCATCTCACTGCAGCATTCTTTGACAAGTCATAAACACTGTACCCAGCTATTCGCCGCACTAGGTTGTCTGGTGAGGTAGAGTCCCTCCGTACAAGAACGTCATGAGCTTTCGAGGCTGTGATTCTCCCCATCCTGTGCTGATACCACAAAGGACTAACATTCTGGTTTCTTGTGGCCTTTTCCAAGTTACTGGCTTGGGTTTGGGACACTGAATAAGACATGAATATTTCATCACACATTTCGGAGATGTTGCCTTCAAAGTCATCTTGTCTGAAAGTTGACAGAAGTTTGGGGAATTTTGGTTCAACAGGCTCTGTGTTCATGGTTGTTGGTACACTCAAGGAAGTGAAAAATGCAGCATTTGGTGCAATGTTATACAATTCCTGAAGAACGTCCTGTGAGGGAAGAGGTGTTGATCCATGTGCCTGAACTGAGTCTACCTCTTTTGTTCGTTTTCCCTTAATCTGGCAGTATATTTCAGTAATTGTTAATGGTAACACCTAGAAAAAAGGGAGAGAAATATTACAAAATGCTGGTAATTCATCTTCATAAAACTATTAAACTAAAAATAAGAGAAAAGTGTTACAAATAACAGCTAATGGAACAAAGAAATTATTCCTTTTTTTATTATTACCTCTTTCCGAAATGTAGAATTCCACTGACAAGCCTTGCAGGTTGAGCTGGATTTGGTTAAGCCCAGTTTCACTGCCATTTCTATTTTAAACAACAATGCAGCCACATGAGGCCATCATTAAAAATATCTTTGTTTCCCCTAACCCGACCCAAAAATTTCAAGTTGAGTAGGTAGGTAGGTAAATTATTTTTTTTTCTGACAGCAGTTTTGAAAATACATTCTGAAAATTGAATATCTGTATAAGTAAGAAAGAACAAAAGAAACCGATTTTTAAACCGAATATCATACAAATGAAATTTAACATACATGGTAAATTACTTCACAAATATTATTCATTCGAATTTAATTTTAAATTTATTGAAATTGAATTTTTACAGAAAGACAAGATTCGCAAAACTCAATCATCGACCATCCGAGTATACTTTTTTAAAACCTACTATCATCTTCGAGTGCTTACACAGATAAAATGTCAAGGGTCTCGCGTGGTGCAGTAATTCTAGTGTTTCGCTTTGGAGTCACGACGTAATTCAGGAGCTTATTCTAAGTCACAGGTCCCGACGTGGGGCGTGGAAACTGGTCGGTCAAATGAGACCGTAAAAAACGTAGGGCCGTGCAGTGTCACAGTATACATGTAGATGTTGGCACGATAAAGATCCCTTACTGATGCTTTACATGTATGACCAATGGCCATAAGTGCCGAGAAAAAGTCTAAATTAGGAGCCCTCCACCAGGCAGGTGTTCAAATGTTGTCGACCCAGCAATTTTTAAAGGTATTTTAAAGCAAAGAAACAACCTATTTTCAAGGGCCGAACTAAAGAAAAGAAAAATACACTGGACGTCGTACCATACGCCAACTTGAAAGATTTCAACGCTATTTGTAGTGAGAGTACCTGTATAAACAATATTTAATTCAACCAAACTATATCTAAAATGATTAAAGTTTCATATATCTAATGTTATAGTCACGAAGTTTACCCCATAAACAAAAGGAATGAAGAAACGACATCCGAATAATAATTATCAAGATGAAATAATTATACAAAGATATATTTACAAATCCTATGGTCCTATATAGTAAAAATAGAATCATACATGAAGTGTTTTTTTTAATATCAAAACGAATGAAATGCAGTGAAATTTATTGATATGCATACACAAAGTGGCCCCCTCATCTGCTCCTGAGGCAGGCTTTGTCATGCTTACTACGTACGTCAATTTTAGAAGACACATTTGTAAATACCATCTTAACACTCCTTAGTCATGGTATATTTAATTCACGAAATGTTTCAAGAGTGTAGGATTCTAATAAGTTAAAGCTGTATATTAAGATTGATACATCGCTGTTGTTTTATAACACTAAATAACCCTCTGTGGCCACATGTTGTGGGCACCAAATGAGAATAATAAAAAGTCGCCATTCTGATAAGAAACGAATTTTGATGAAATTGTATTTTATAAAGTTGATAAACAATAAAAATAAATATTTGAATAATCTTATTAAAAAAACTTTTCAGTCGGCACGATTTAAGTGGGTCGGTCGCGTTAGGGGAAACAAACCTATTTTTTATTTTGGCCTGACTGCAAACTTTTTATTAAAAATATCCAATAAATTTAAAATTTACACAACCTAAACATTTTCAAATTTACAAAGGCGATTTCATAACTTTAATACTGTAGAATTTTAGGAAAGTTATAAGAACTCAGAATTTTTTTCCAGATACAACAAATAATTTAGAAAATATATAAGCAATTTTTTAAACTATACTTGATCTTAAAATCATACCCTGCCATGTATGTACAATGGGCACAGTACACTGATCCAGTCGCCTTCTCCAAATACACCCATGGTTCATGTGGCTTGTCTCTGGCCCTCTGTGATGGTGTTACTTTCGTCTTCAGTGCCATGTAAGGACAACGCTCTTCAACCTGATGAGACATCACTTCATGTACATGTCCACTCAATACATACCTGCATACACAGTTATTACACACAAAAAAATAAATTAATATAAAATGTCAAAATATCATAACTACGCATTCTAATTTTAGGGCCTAGCCAAAAAAAGAAATATTTTGGTCGATGTCGATAATGAAACCAATGCGCCAGATAATTCCAGGTAAATCTAAATATAAAAATTTGCGAGCAGTGTAATTAGTCACTGGTAAGATGGCCATATATAGAATTCACATGACCTTTCGTTGTCTAATTCAAAACTTAACCTAAATTTTTGAACACCGAAAGATTATGAAAATACAATTTAAGTGTTGTGTGTAAAAAAAAAAAAAGAAGAAATAAGTAAAACTAACAGTTGTAATTTTGCAGTAAGAGTTACATACTTGTAGGCATTGAGTGATTTGTAGGCCTTCATCGACTCTTTTGTAAACAAAGATGGTGTGTCGATCAGGTACAGGTAGATGTCGCCGAAGGTCAAGTCTGGCCATGTGTCTGGGTTTCGACTCCAGTTCTCACTTAAATGGTAGGGATCAGGCAGAGAACAGATACCACGGTTGTATAAAAGCTTTACTGCATACCTCTTCCTTGCTTCCTCTGACAAAGAGTTTGTATAGGTTGAAAAAACAACGGTATATTTCTTCGTATAATTT